CACTGACTCTTTATGCTCAACTGGCTGGTTGAAACAAAATCCTGGTCCGGTTTTGTACTTTCTGGACCTGAACTTTCCACCTCTGGTTTTTAATAACTTGAATGATCATTTCCCATATCTTCAGAATCTACTTATATTTGTTAATCGTTATACATTAACTCCCATATTTGTAAAACATGGTCTGGGACCACCTTGAATTTATGGACAATGTGTGTTACTGGCATTCTGTGTCTGACTCCTCCTCCTCATTTTTTTGGACACACCCACCCCATGTGCTTTCTTATTGGCTGCCCCGGTGGTTCCTTTCCTCACTGTCCATCCCTGTCATGGATGAATAAGCAAGAATTTTTTCTCAGAATTTTTATTCACATTTCTAAATTTTTATTGTATACATTTACAGTACTGTGAAAAAGTCTTAGGCAGTCAAAGAAACTGATGTTTAAATCAGCTTTGTGTGAAACTGATTTTATATGTCAAAATGTGTTAGCTTAACCATTTCAAAACCTCCCCAAAAGCCACCCAAGAATGTGCAATAATCACCCAATACTTGGATGTATTTTTTGATTCGACCAGTAGCACACCTTGTGTGCTTAATCAATATATCATTCACTAATTAAATTAAATTAATGGAGCTGGTGGTGAAATTCAACAAATACGTGTTATGGCTGAGTTGCCCCTAGCGAGAGGTTTGGGAGCTGAAGCGATGGATCCATCCATCAAGATATCAGTACCTTTTTGGAGAACCGAAGAACCTCTTTGTTAATTTTTATTGTATTTCTGTTCATTTGTATGTGTTCTAACATTAAACTGTGTTTTTTTTCTGCGCAAATATATGCTTACTACCCAGATAAATATCTTTAAACATTTGCTTTGATTGCCTTAAACTTTTGCACAGTGCTATATTTATATTCAATTTTCTGCTCCATAAACTGCAGATTTGAAGACATTTATAATATTAATTTTCAGGGTTTGTGTTAGTGAATCGTCTTGGAAGTTACTGTATTCTAACTCTTGGGAGTCAGTGTCAGTTTAAATTTCACTGGTTGATGTTTTCTGTCCGTTTTTTCATGTCCATTTGACTGATGAGAACTTTTGCAGACATATTTCTGGGAAAGAATCTTGTGGTGACTTGGCTAGTGAACTGGATGTGAAACCCATTATTTGGATGCCTATTCTGTGTGTGTG